GGGGGGGGGGGGGGGGGGGGGGGAAGAGGAGGGTGAAAATGTCATATAAATTCGGTAAAAAGTCAGTGCTGGAATTTTTCCCTGGCCGTCACTTTGAGCCCTTTTTCCAGTGCTAGCACTAGAAGTTTTTTAGTGAATTTCTCTCCGTGCAAAATTCGAAATAGAGGCAAATCCGTTACGATTACGAATAAATGATTTTTAGGGTGGAAAATTGATTGTTGCTAAAGGATTTATGGAAAACGATAAAAATATGAATTTGTTAATTATTTCATAAATTTTTCACACGAAACAGTGTAACAAAACGGTTATAGATCCCGTCAAACAGTGAAACAATTAGAAGGCCCAAACGGGAAAGATTTTCTTCCTTCATCCNTTTTTAGGGTGGAAAATTGATTGTTGCTAAAGGATTTATGGAAAACGATAAAAATATGAATTTGTTAATTATTTCATAAATTTTTCACACGAAACAGTGTAACAAAACGGTTATAGATCCCGTCAAACAGTGAAACAATTAGAAGGTCCAAACGGGAAAGATTTTCTTCCTTCATCCTCCTGTATGGCCCTTGTGATCCTTTCAGGCGACTCTAACGTTTGACCCATATAACTATTTGATTCTACCCGTCCGTTCAACCCTTGTAAAATAAGAGCTTTGGACTCTGGTAAACTGGGTGACCCTGGTAACCCATTTTACCCCTCTCCACCCCCTAGTTGATACGAAAAAAAAAAATCACCTAAATTTCGCTATACATTCGGTTTTTGCTATCGTGTCATTTTGCCCGGCGTTTCACTTTACCCTGGGTCCCCTACGACCATTTTTTATGGATAATAATTATTATATAATATAATTCATTCATTTATAAAAAAATCAATTTTTCGGCCTGAAAATACTTTTTTCGAAATCGTAGCAAATTTATAAATTTTCAGAATTTTACTATAAATTATTTTCATGCACGGAGAGGAATGTTCAGTAAAAATTACGGAATTCGAAGTTCGCTCACCGATTACGGAATCGACTCAGAAAATTTAAGTGACGGTATCGTCATTTTTCACAGGAGACTCAGATAAAAATTACGGAACGCTCTGGAAAAATTCCGTGGCAGTTCCGTAAAATTTCCTACAACCACATCTCGCTCCGGAATTATGGAAAAGATACGTAATTTTTATTGAATATTTCTCTCCGCATACACAAAAAATAAGGTTCTCAAAAGTTTAAACGATTTCAATTACTTATTTATGAGAAGGAAATGTTAACAATAAAAAAATTCTTTGCAAAATGGAATTTGAATGAAGCTCGATATCCATGAAATTTTTCCAATTTATCGCATAAGAATCTGAGATAAAATCAGAAAATCTACTTCTGCAGAAAAATCTATAACATAATTCAAAAGATACGATTTTTGAAGATTATGATCTTTTTTCATGAAAAATTTATTCAAAATAGCAGTGTTCCACCCTGCAACAATTTTCTTGGAAATCCTAACAAATTTATTAACATTCAGAATTTCACCATCAATCAATTTCATGCTTAAAAATAAGGTTTCCGAAAGTTTAAACAGTTTTAATTATTTATTTGCACGAAGGGAATGTTTGAAAGAATATTAATTATTTACAAAATGTAATTAAAATAAAGCTGAATATCCATGATTTTTTTTAAATTTTCACACGTAATTTGGTTGAAAAATTTAATCGTTGAAAATGTCTGAATGTATAATGTGATCCGTATCAAACTGTAACAAGTACTTAAATATATCCTCAAATTTACTGGGTGGTACACTGGGGAGATACTGGACCAGTGAAATTTTTGGTGCAACCCAATAAATTTACTGGACAGATAAATTTTAACAGTCTGTTAGTCTAACAGGCTGTTAAATTCGCCTAACAGGGGTTGGTGCAACCGGGCCTGAAGGTGACTACCTCTCCGGGTATTTTTTCAATTGCGCACATACGGAGAATGTTTAGACAAATGTTTTGCAATATAACACGAAGCTCAATGTCTTTCGATGTAGGAAGCATGATGTATTTCTATTCAAAAAGTCATCTGAACATTCCCTAGCAGAACCGCACATTTCGTAGAAAATCTTCCAGTCATAGGGGATTGGAACTTGACTTGGTGAATAACTTCATTAATGCAGTCTCATTCAATACTCACTACATTGAGAGCCTCATATGCATATTGATCATGCGGCCTCCTATAAAGAGGACTGTGCACATCGGCAAATCCAGCCCAGTTGCCTCTTAAATCATACGCCATTACATGAATAGCATCGACATTCCTGTAGAATTGCAATCAACAAAGTTTGTAATTAGCATCGAAGCTGTTTTCCCTGAGATTGAGTTTGAGAAAGTAAATTTGTAATAATTGAAACTAACTGGCAGAGATCGGGCACGTGGTAGCCCTCATTGAGACGGAACTTGGCCACTGGCACAGCCATAGTAATCTCCCACCCCTTCTGCTCTCTGTCAAAGGCACGTCGCAGCTCCTCAACGAAGTAGAAGAAGTTGTTTCTATCTGAGTATTTACCGCCCCTGTCGGTTGCACCAGGATACTCCCAATCGAGGTCAAATCCGTCAAATCCATATTCGTGCATGAAAGCTGTAATTTAGTCATTAGGTTGAATAACTCTGTAATGGAATGGTGGATAATGCGCGATGAGCGATAAATTTGATGCAGATTATTATGAATGGAAAAATCCGCAAGGAAGACATCAATAGGTGATGATTCAGGCCGGAGACTTCATTTACGAAAACGGCTATTATCAGAAGTTGGCTCCAAATAGGTGATTGAAGTGAGCGACAAGTAGGGTTGGGAAGAAATTGAAACATTCCGCCCGCAGCCCTCAGCCCTCAGAGTCTTTTAAGGGAGGGGGGGGGG